TTGTATGTGATTCTTCTCAGTGCAGTTTTGTTCTGACCCCAGTTTGTCTGTACACATTTCTTATTAAAAGCGCTGGTGCCTAACTCTGAATTTGCATGCTCATAAATCAGTGTAAGTATAGTTTAAATGTGGAGAAAAGCAATTCTGCCCTTAATGTGAGGTTTGCTAATCAGTTATTACAGCCATTAAAAGAGGCTTCATTATGTAAGCCTTAGCTATCAAACAGCACCTTAATTAATCTTGCTTTAACCTTAGTAGCTAACACATTTTTTTCCCATGGACTAATAACATTTTTACCAAAGAAACTTTTCCTCCTTGACTAATTATCTTAATCTGAACTTTAATGAAGTAAAAAATCTGATTATCTCTAGTTTTTAATTAGTTTGAGCATATGTAAATCCACTTCTGGTAATAGCCCTTTAGGGTATTAGAATTCAAAATTGATTTTAAAGTATTAATATTTTAATTGTAAATATTTATATTAAATGATTCATTTAAAAGAGCAATTTCTTGGATGTTTAGCTAATAATGAAACACAGATAAAGTATACACAGCATTATTGTATAGCATAATATCTGAGAAAGAGATTTGCAGTTGTTTATAGAATCTCTTTTTAAATCTTTCATTAAAAAATCAACACATGTCTACTACAAGGATATAGAGACACCTTTGTCACAGATCTTAGTACTGGTCAATTACATTGAGACAACTATGCAAACATGAAAACTAAAGAGTCTTCTTGTTATAATAACAGTCTCATCCTGCCTGAGCTGCAGAGGTATGAAGAGGACTGTTATAGAGCATGAAGCTCATTGATTTCTGTTAATGTAGCACTAATAGTTTTCTTAGACTGTTTATAAATTATGTAAAACAAATGACTGAGTAAATGGCCATCTTTGATGGGTTAATGGCTGACATTCCTGTGTCTCACCTCTGTGTACCAGCTGAAGTGATAGACTACTTCAGAAAATACCAGGAAGCCACCTTTTAGCATCGGGACCTTCAGGAAATCTTAGCAGAAACCAAACACTTAGCTGCCTGGCTTATATCTTGGTTTTAACTGCTGCTGTGTGACCTTCAGCAAGACCTTTGACCTCATTGGTTAAAGCAAGGGTCTAACTTGCAGCCTGTGGTATGCACAGTTATTTAATGTCAACCTGCACTTGACTGTTGTACAAGATTGCTGTTACATTTGTTCCAAGTGTCTGCTTTTAGATTTTTATCCAACATACTGTATGTTGACACATGTGACTCCTGACATAGCATGTATGAGGAGACTACACTACAGCCTGTTGGCAGAGACTCATTTCCTCTCAGCCATTGGCCAGTGTGTTGCTGGGAAGGGAGCGTGCTCAGGACTCAGGATTTGCAAGTGTGTCTCCAGTGTACAAGGAGCATGCATAACTGCTTGCTGGTGAGGGCCCAAACCCCAAATGCTATACATAACCTGAAATGTCCCATTTTACATTTCATTGTGGACAGATTTTTATCATTAATAAGGTTGCACAAGAAGGCTTATGTGTGGTGAATAGAGATGCCAGATTACTACACCAGGCTTTTGCAAGGCAAAGTGAGAGTCTCAATTTTTTCTAGATGCTGTTTCAGAGCAATTGGAAAATGACTATGTAACACTCATTGAGAATGGTTTATGCCTAAGTATATATCTCTGTGTTTATTCTTCATTCCTTTAGAACTGGGTCGATAAAGCTGAAAAGCAAGCTCTTCTCTCTGATACACTTGACCTGTCTGAACTCTTCCATCCAGACACATTCCTTAATGCTCTTCGCCAGGAAACTGCAAGGTAGTGAAAATGAAAACCTTTTCCTCCCTGGGGGTAATTATATTTCACTTAATCCATAGAGACACATTATCCTGATTGTCAAGAGTAAATTTATTCCTGAAACCTATATAGGTTTATTATTCCTCCTAATAGCTTGCCTTTAATAACAGTCAACTTTTAATTTCAATAGCATTGGTATTGCTATTGAATTGGTAAATTAGAATTAGAATTGGTAATTGGTAAATTTACCAATTAGAATTGGTAAAATTTTAATTCCCTAAGTTTGGTCTTTTTTTTTTTTTTAATTCAGACTTGCACTGTCCAAAATAGTATCCAGTTGTCTATTTAAAGGGATTAAGGGTTTACTTTCTTGGGCACATTAGCTATGCTCACCAGTGTTTAGTAACCACAGGTGGCTGGTGGTTACCAGCCTAGACTACATGAAAACATGATTTTGCAGGATCTTTTAGGAGGCTGCTCTGGATAACTTTTGTGGTGAACAGAACTGATTGTTAAGGTCAGGCTGGTCTTTGCACCAGTGTCAGCTTACTGTTATTTATATAGACCCTGATTGTAACAAGGTAGAGCATAAAGAAAGAGGATTGCTAGAATATTCTAAGGAGGAGGAGGAAGTCTATTACTTGAGACTTATCTTTACTCAGGATATTTTGTTCATTCAATAAAAACTTAGTATCTTTTATGTGCTAAGATTTGAGGGCCATAATCAGAGTGGAGAATATAAGAAAAAGTCAAAAGCCCTCTACCTAAAACACTGGAAGATTGACATTTAAGCAACTGATGTTAAAATCTTAGGCATTGTACTTAATTCAGTAGTTCTTACTTGAACATTGTATTTGGATTTAAACAAGTTATTGAAAATAGCTATATTGTTACTTTATTTCCTAAGGACATTGTTTTGTATGTTTGGGGTTTGGTTCTAGGAATTGAGCCCCCAAAAGACACACACACATCCCCTCCCCTGCCTTATGCTTGCTAAGCATGTGCTCAATTGCTAGACCTATACATGCACATTGAAGAGTTACTTCTCATGACATTTGCTGCTTTGCTTTTACAGGGCAATGGGCTGCTCCGTGGATAGCCTTAAATTTGTAGCATCCTGGAAAGGCCGACTTCCAGAAGCAAAGCTGCAGATTAAGGTACCAATTTGGGATGTTTAACTTTGAAATGCATTACTGAGGTGAAATGGACATTTCTAATTCACAGGCATCTATCCTTATAATGTACAATCAACAGGGCTCAACCATAGATTACAAACTAATTGTGTAAGATTTAACATGAAAGACCTTCCACTAAAATGTATATGATGTAATATAAAACTTTAGTTATACTTACCACATCTTGAAAAACCAAAATTCAGTATGTTATTTAAAAATGTACTTGTCAGTCGTGACCACACAGAGACAATGAAAGTGCTCCAGTGCAAAGGCAACTAGCTCCAGTCAGGTCAGCACCACATGAGGGTCAGTGCTGGCCTAACTCACTTCCGAAGCTCCTGCTGGCTGTGCCCTGAACCACCCCAGTTCTGCTCCATGTATCCTCTCATGCTGCTGGAGATGAGACTTCCTTTATCTCATGGCTCAGCATAGCATTCCAAGAGGGAAAATCTTGTTTAAAGTCTTATTAAAAATAACAGATGAAAACAGGTCACAAGCTGACTCTAAGTCCAAGAGGTAGAGAAGAAACCACCTCACAATGGGAGCAGCTTTAGGATCATTGTTATTAAGCTGTGGCAACCGAGACAGCAGGCCATTCCTGTAAAAAAAGATAGACTGATGGAATATAGTGAAATGATATCCCATGTCCACAAAGGACCTGTTCCTGAAGAGAAACATAGTGCACAGCATTGTCACCTACAGATTTCATCCCAAGAACTGCTTAATCAAGTAGCAGAATATTAAAAATATATATTTTAAGTAAGTTTATGATTTGGTGTTGGACTGCATTCTCGGCCACAGATTGGACATGCTGATAAAATTAGTAAGTTGATTCTGAAAGCATAAAAGGTTGACATCTACAAATAAAATTACAGGAAAATATATTTATGATTTCCAAAGAGAAAAATAATAAGAACTTCCAAGAAACAGTTAAAAATGACTTGAAACTTCTCAGCAGAAATAGACAGAAGAGCAGAATGGAACATCTTAAAATCAATGCTGAGAAAGTTTGTGCAATAGTACATACAGCACATTGCCTTTTGTATTTAGGTTGGAAACAAAATAAATAAACTATACAGTTGCTAAGTACATCCATAAATGGTAAAACTATTCCCTAAATGTATGCAGACATGTGGATCACACTTGAGGGCTGCCTCATGGGCTCAATGAAGTGTTTGAGCATCTGTTTGCTTCATACGTGAATGAGCTGATAGAATGCATTCAGTTATCTAGAAAGCATCGTGATGTCCTCTGGTCAGAATTACCCACTGTCTCACTTCAGTGGGTTGTCCGTATAATTTTATGTTCCCAGATGAGCAACATTGGCTGAACTTTAATGAACATTTCCTGTGTATCAGACAGTTTTACATACATTTCATTGCCATGTCAGGTTGTCACCCTAGGGTGTGCCATTATTTCTGCCTTCTCTTGGAAGGACATTTGTTTGTCCATTTCTTAGGCCAAAACAACCCAGATTTGATAGTGCCTCTTCCTTGTGCTGACCTTGGGTTGTAGAACTTCTGCTTTGATACTTCATGGGAGTGAGTCTCTGTCCTGTGGAGCCTGGTTTGTTGTCCCAGTACAGGTGTGACTGGAAGTTGTCTGGAGAACTGTTATATTACTCATAGAAGTTCTTCAGCAATAGGGTGATGTTGGGGTCTATCTGTTGAACTCCAGTCACAGCCAGTACAAGAGGAGATGTTACTGGCAACACTTTCCTCCTTGGTATACAGCTACTTTCATAGCAGTCATTTCTGGTCAGTATTCGTCCTGCATTTCAGGAAGGAGGAAATAAAACATGGGCAAAACACCTAAATAAACTTTTTACAAAAAAGACGTAAAAGTAGCTAGTAAGCATAAGGAAGGGTGACCTCCATCATCAGTTATCAAGGAAGGGAAGACCTCAAGCACAGTGACATGGCACCTCCTACCATCCAGGCAGAGCCAGGCACTTAGTGGCTCTCAGTGTGACCAGGTGGCTGTCTAGGACCCTCAGCTCCCTGCCGCCGCCAATGTCTGCCATGTAGTCATGGTGGCCCATATATACTAGCCGCAGAAAGTTCAAAATTTAGTATATGCTTTCTTGAATATATATCACTTTTGCATTTTTGTAAAAGACTTTGAAATTCAGTGCTCTCAAGTCAGGCTATTGGTCAGTTGTTAAAACTTGAAGCTATTAAGATAGATTGTGTTGGATATCATGCATGCACCATGAGAAAATAGACAAGACTGTAGAGGCAGACTGTTGAACAGCTGTGAATGTAAGCTACTATTTGACCTGCTGCCTTTAGCTAGGGCAAGTCACACTGGAAAAATGAATAAAATGGCCACTAAGAAGCTGTAGCTAACATCACTTTAAGAGCCATGTTTTAATTTCAGATGTCTTCAGTTTACACTACTACTACTACTACTACTGTGTAAAACTTTCTCCTTTACTGTCTCAACTCCACACAGCAGGGCAAATAAAAAGTGTTAGAAAACAAGTCAGGATTACATGTTCATTCTCTGACTAGGCTTCTCTCCCCCACTTTGTGGAAAAGAGTTAATTTGACTTATGTCTCTATATTTCTGGTACCTGTGGTTATACGGTCTATGCCAAGTTTTTCCTAGAATATTAGCTAAAAAGTAAGACCTCTGTCTAAAGAGTTCACAGTGAACATTGATTCAGATTTTCTGTGTTCTCCAAACAAAATCTGTTTTCACAGCATTTGGGACACTGGGCCTTTGAGCTTAAGATCTAACTGTGTATACCTGGCATTTCAGGATTTGATATTTATACTGTAACACTTTCTACTTTTCTGTGGCAGATCAGTGGTTTGTTACTGGAAGGTTGCAGCTTTGATGGCAATCGCCTTTCAGAAAACCAGCACGATTCTCCCAGCGTGTCATCAGTTCTCCCTTGCTTTATGGGCTGGACTCCACAGGTAAGCATTTGGATAAACAGCTTCTAATCTCATTGGTTCACTCTTGGATTTTACTGTTCCACAAAATATTCATAGCATGTGTTTTTGGTTTGCTTTCCCATTTTACCTGTACATTAACAAATTTGTAATTAGTGTATTTTGAAGAGGTAAAGATTTTTAAACCATTTTGTTTTGGAAACAGTTTACTAAAAACTGTGTGTAATTAGAGCAAACCCCTGAGCTAAAGATTAGGGTCATAGTGTGGCTTGAAGCTTTCCTCTGCAGGCCTCTTAGACCAGCTGTCACAGTGTGGCCTGAATCTTCCTCTGCAGCCTCTTGGACCAAGACATAGTTTCATGGTTACATGGTTTCAGGTAAGTCATGTGAGCCACACAGGTCAAGGCTTTCCCAAGATCAGGCACCGCAAGTAGCCAGGTGTGATGGTCAGAATAATGATGTTGGCTGCTGTTGTGGGATATTTAACCGCATTGTGAAACTTGACTCAGGGAGTGGAGCCATCAACTAGTGGACAGGAATTAGTCATCGAGAGGACAGAGGAGCCAGGAATACAGATAGAAAGGTGAACAGGAAGGAATAGGGAGGGACTTAGAGATTCATAGCCCTTTTGGCTGGGACAAGTGGAGAGATGCTTCTCTTGCTGGGTCTCCAGCCAAAAAGGAAGGTCATCTGGTTGCTTCATGGGTTCTCTGAACTAGCAGGTTTTCACCACAACATCTGACTCCCAAGTCTTTATTGGTAAATAGAACAACTTAGATAAAAACTACAAGTTGCCAGTTGGTGTGCTCGGGAGGCTCAGGCAGTGTGGCCTTGTTGGAGAAAGTAGTCATCAGGGGTGGTTGGTGTGCTCCGGAGACTCAGGAGGAAGTAGTCATTGGGGGTGGGCTTTGCGGTTTAAAAGCCATGCGCCATTCTCAGTTTGTACTCCCTGCTTCCTGCTACAGTTCCAAGTGTTACCTCGTCAGTTTCCATGTCTTACAGCCACCACGTCTCCATTCTGCCATCCTGGACTTCTGTTGTTGTGGGACAATCAGCCTAAAGACACCCTTCCTTCTGTAAATTGCCTGGGTCATAGGGCTTTGGCACAGTAATAGGAAAGTAACTTCTATACTGGGTCACGTGGTAATGCGTGTCAGAGGTCTGACCTCACACCATGACATCATGCTCCTGCTTTTCAGTGATTGAGAGTTTTATTCTTCACTGGTAGAACCTAGAGGCACACATGCATCTTTAAAATAGGACATGGTTTTAGATGAGGCATATAACTTCTTAACTCTGAAGCCTAAGATTGAAAATGTATGCATAAATAGACTGTAATCCTCCATCCACTGAACTGCAAAATGCTGTTCACTACAGGAAAGATGAGTTTTTCTCATTAGGAAATGCCACAGTGAAGTTTGAAGTTACACATTTTACAAAGATCAAAAGCATCTGGGTGTTTGAACATAAAAAACTAGCTAGGCACTGTTCAGAGAGCCAAAAGAGCAACCTGTCTATGAGGTTCCCCACCCATGGAGATTCATTTCCCCACAGTGTCAGGATGACTTTCAGATAAAGAATGGAGATCAGAAGAATAGTTGTCTTTTTTCAGAAATGTCTATCAAAAGGTGGTAATTATGGGCTATGTGGTTTTTGATCTTAGGTTGTAAATGCTCAGAGTTGTACTGTCTAGCTTAGCATGGAATTTGCCCAGGGTTTTAACTGCACCATATAAAGTTGTGTATGAACTTGATGAATTCTAATGTGTCTAAGTCATGTGAAGTTCTCCTTCTTTGCCAAGTGAAACTGAAATCCATGTAATGACTGTGATGGCTCGCTGAAGGAGCGACACCTGTAGTCAAATCAGAGCATGAAGAGTGATGGCTAGAAGGAAAGAGGGAGATTACCTGACCTCAGCCCTGCCAGTCAGGACTGCCACACCAGTGAGCAGCAAAATCAGGCTGCAGACTACATCCGACTAGGAACTGATGCTTTTCAATATTCTAGTTCGTGTACTATCCCTATTCCATGTATTCCTATACTTTAAGCCAGAAATCATTTGGAAAGAATTGCACTAAGGAAAAGTCAAATGAAGCTGGTATCTGTCCCATAAAGAGCTAAAGGTAAATAATGATGTCTTGTAGTTTAAGCTCCCTCTCCCCCAGAGCCTCTGTATTTCCCATGACTGTGGTGGAAGCACTTCCTGGGGCTTGCCCACTTTTCTCCTTTCTTCACATACATGTTCATTCCTTGAAGAATATCAAATGTATTGCTAAGAGTTTATGAATACAAAGTTTTGGAGACCAACACAATTCAGGTTCCATTCCCCAAATTATAATTTAGACACAGTAACCTTGCTGAACCCATTTATTAATAGAGGGTGGTGATACCGTGGGATGTTGTGGAGGGCTTAGACACAGTCCCATGTTTATGCCATTCCCAGAGCAGTGCCTTACATCTGGTCATTGGCAAGACGGTGGAACCATTATGAGCCTCAGACACATTCCTATGTATGTGAAATACAATGCCCAGAGTATGCCGCACACATGTTAGTCAAATTGAACAATAATTCCTTACTCTCCACAGTTCCTTATAGTTGGTGATGCTTACAGTTATTGACTACTTGCTACATTTAGACATCTCAGAAATGCTGACCACTAGGGTTGCAAAGACAACAGCAAAAGTCAGGTGACTGGGGTGGGCCTAGGCCCTATCCCAGAGGTAGACTCTGATGACACCCCCCATGGAAGGCCTTGCCCTCCCTGGGGAGCAGGAAGGATATGGGATAGGTAGGGTTTTAGTTGGGGGGAGTGGGATGGTAGGGGAGGAGGAGAGGGTGAGGGAACAGGGATTGTCATGTAAAACAATCTTGTTTGTAATTCAAATAAAAAACATCTGAAGAAAAAAAAAGCCAGGTGACATTACAGAGATGGGGTCAGGTGACATTACAGAGATGGGGCCCCGCTTGTTACATCCTTAGTCATGGTGCAGAGGAATGAGACAGTCTAGAATGCTCCTCAACTTCCGCTTCATTTAAATGTGATTTGTGCAATAAAGTGCTGTCTACATTTTCTGTGGCTCCTTCCACACCATGTGAAAAGAACATCAACATTTTCCTGATTTTAGTTTGAGAAACAAAGCCAGTGGAAGCCTTGGAGAAGAGCTACTGTGTCTACTCCACAGCTGCTGTGTTGAAGAACGTTCAGAATTCTTTAAACTAGCTCAGAACGTTGGAGACAAACATTTTAAACCAGACAGAAGATTTTTGTTTGTTTGTTTTCTACAAATCCCACATTATCTGACAACCAAAACCCTAAAGACTTCACTCTAGTAGAAGAATCGTGGCTTCTAATCCAGTCACTGTACAGCGAGCATCTCTTATTCCCAGCTCTTCACATTTAAAGGCAAGCCTACCTGTCATGGGCGATGGAGGAACAGCCTTTAGGTTTCCATGCAGCACCGCATCTGAGGGCGCAGCTGGTCAGTGTCAGGCGTGCTCTGTGATACTGCTGCCCTGAGGTGTCATGGAGTTGCAGTTCTGAAGGACAGGGAAAAGAAAAATGCTGATGTGCTTGTCTTAATCTTTAACTGTGGACTAAGGTAATAAAACACAGATTCGGATGCTATTAATGGTTATCTGCATCCTTCCAGGAGGCAGATTGATAGTCTTGCTCCAGTTCAGCCAGTGCCATGTTCAAGTGCTGAAAGAAGCACTTGGCATTCTTCAAAGTATTGCTCAACATACTTTTAGACATTAATCCCACATTAGCTCCCTGTGGCAAAGTGTTCAATAAACAAACTTAGTATTCTCCTCTGGAAATTGTGTACATTAAAGTTCTGAGAGGGTTGGAAGAGAGCTCAATAAAGTTGAGTGCTTTCTCTATAAGCATGAAAACCAGGTTTGGAATCCAGCCCCACATGAGAAGCCAGGCACAGCAGTGTAAGCCTGTCTTCCCAGCGCTGAGAAGGCAGAGTGACTGGGTCTTGCTGCCAGCTCATGGAGCCCAGTGAGTGAGCTTCAGGCTTAGTGAGAGGTTACCTCAAGAATAAGGTGGAGTACAACAGACATGAGACCAACTGTCAACCTCATCTCCACACACAAAAAGAGCTCCACAAGGCCTGACAGATTGCCACACAAACTTTTCTTGAACCTGTACCCAGCACTTTGTCAGATCTCATATTCTGTGCCTTCTGGTGTGGCTCAGTGTCAGGTGACTCCCCTCCTGGTCCTGCACAGGAAGTCGGCTTGCAGTCTGTCCTTGTCTTTCTCTAGGAACAGTGCCACATGGGGCTTATCAGCAAATGTAATTTAGCAGTCAAACCAGCCTGAACTCCAACTGAGGGCCTAACCCCTCACGTGCTACCACATTTGACTGCTGAGCAATACACACATCCAAGAGCCATTCACGAAGTAGTCGTCATTCTATATGACTTGTCTAGATATTCAAATATATGTATTAAAGGGTATTGCCAGGTTCTTTGCCTTCTTTACACCAGTGTAAAGTAAATACTCAGTTTCTTTTCTAATTTACCTCTTCCTGTCTGAAAATAATGCTGGTGACATTGTTGAAAGCACAAGTGAGGGGTCTCTAACACTACCACTACCTGCTAGGACTTCCCACGGAGCAGTATTTCTAAGCACCCTATGCCAAGTTCTTCCCTCGGTTCATGCTGAATGGTGCCGCTTGGACATGTGCGTCAAAACTCCAGCAATCTAGTACCCTTTGTAAAGTAAGGAAGCCAGTGCTGTCTGCTTTTTCTGATTCCAGAAACATGCATGGGCCAGATAACTTTGACAAGTGTGATTTCATACATAAAGTGGGGGCTTGCTCCTAGACCCCAGATTAGGCACAAACCACCCCCAAACATGTTTTCAAAGAGAGATTCTTTATTAAAAAGAGAAGTCAAAGTAACTGCTTTCTGACTCAGGCAAAAAACAGCAGCAAATGACCTTGCAGGTATAATTGTTAAGATCTCTGGCTCTGCTTCTGCATGGATCATTTATGATTAGGTCCCTAAAGCAAGGCCACTGAGCTTTAAAAAAGCCAGGAGACTGATAAATGCTGAGCGGAATGTCAAGAAGCCACAGTGGCCCTTTGTTTTACAATGCTGTAGGATTAAGGAGAGAAAAAAAAATGTGACCTCTCCTTACATCATGGGAAACTCACAGCCCTGAGCAGGCTTGGAGGAACTTGGAATCAGTGAGCTGTAAATGAGTACCCAGCATCCCTGCATCCTGTTCTTGTTGACTCCTGAAGTCTTTCACTGTGCTGCCAACACCAGGTGCTCAGGAAAGTCTGCCCTTCCCCAGCAGTCAGCTTCAGATCCCCTCAGTCCAGCAGGGTATAATGTCTGTCTGCTGTTTGTAAGGACTGAGAGATAGCAGCAGATGAGAGCTTGCACGAAGTCATTGATGTTGGGAAGCCTGGTGCTTTACGTTTAAGAAGAATTGGAGAAGTGAGTCGGTGGCAGAAGTCTGAAATTCACCCTACCATGGTCTCAGAAACTTTGTCAGGATGACATCCCAGAAGACCCAGTTTTAATACTCTTTACCTAAAGTTGTGTTCTTGATAATTGATGTGCGTCTTTCCTAAGCTGAACCATTAGCTGCACTGAAGGACCTTTTCTCTGTGTGGGAACACCCAGCCTTCATGACATAGGTGCACCATGAGCACGCAAAGCATTGCCACATGGCAGGTTGAGTAACTGACACAGTCACACACTGGAAGTGACCAGGGAGACTCAGGGCAGGTGGCAAGTTTTATTGTTAAAATTCAGGGGTCTCAGCAAAGTCCTCATGTTGGAAAAGGTTTTAAAAAGAGTTTATATAATGCCTACTTGAAAGTTAAAAATAAGATTTAAAAATATTTCCATAAAGAAAACTTTCTTATCTTTTGTTATAGCATCATCCACTACAGGCAGTAGGTGCCAAAAGGATGAATTTTTCTAGATGATTTCAGAATAAAGTGTGTACATGAATAAAGTTCGAAGTTCCTCTGACATATGCAAGGGTCATATGTCCCTTGACCTAGGGAACAAAATACTTAGCTTCTAGACAAGTATTCCGTATCCTAAAGCCATGCGTATGTGAATGATCATGTCTATTTGAAAGACATAACTGTACTTGTGTGCTAATTTGTATGGGCCATGCTTACCATGGTTATACTCTCCATGGGCTTCTGATCCATTTCTGTCTCATTCTTGACTCATCATCTTAGTGCTCAAATCCCAGTCAAACTCTATTATGCTAATAATTCATTGGTTGAATGAGATCATAAATTCAGTTCAAGCACCCATATTAGATTGGAATTAGAAGCACCATTACGAACTTGTTTGAAACCCCTTCTTTGAAAAAGATGCCTATTTCTGAGATCCAGTCACTGGAAAGTTCTAGACTGTGAGTTACTAGACGACGATCTTTGATGGCAATTCTCTTAAAAGAGACCAGGAATCATCTACCTGACTTCTGTCAGAGAAGTTGCATACAAGCTTGCAGTACACTGACACACTAGAGACACGGTGAAGCTATTAAGAGTGAGTACCCCAAAACTCAGTGGTCAGCTTGAACTGGGTAAGGTTGCACAGCTTGAGCACCAGTGAGATGATTGCACTGAACCACAGCAAAAATGCCTGAGTCCACCAGCTAACATAGAAAAGCAGCTGTACTCACTGCTGCCCTGGGAGAGTGCTAGGAAAATATTAAACGTAAAGGGAGATTAGATCCATTTATTCAACCTATCCCTTCTAAATGGAACTTTGTGGCAATAATAAATAAGAAACTGGAATTCTTTGTAGACATGCACTACTTAGAAATGTACTTCTATATTATTTGGTTTCTAGATAAAATTGTGTAAGTTAAATTTTCACCATATCTCAGTATTTGGGGCCAAAGAAAAGTTTTAATGTGTGTGTGTGTGTGTGTGTGTGTGTGTGTGTGTGTGTGTGTGTGTGTGTGTGTGT